CATCACTTTTATATATACAGCAATGGCTGTTCACACTCCCCTGTGACCGGAACTCTGGTGCCAATACCAAGGCAACCTGTGAGAAGGACAGAGCTGGAGGTTAGTTCAGCCCTCCCCAGTCTCCCTCTACCTGCCTCACAGGGGTACCATTTAAACTTCCCCAGTCACAATCAATACTAAGGGGAATGGTGGGGACTTACAACAGCTGTAAATTGAGGGTATTTCTGGCAGGGAGGAGACTCTCATCTCTCAGGCGTTAAATCCTGGAAGGCGATAGGAGAAATCTGTTTTTAATCTAAATTCTTGACTAGTTGGAAAGTGTACTTGGGTGAAGGGGAGGGGGGCTGTATTGATGTGTGGATCGATTCACATTTAAAATTACCTTTAAAAAAAAAAAAAGACAACCAGGTTTCTTTTGATGCTCTCTCCCTCTTAAAGTACCTTGTAGGTCCTCATTTTGCAATCATCTTAGCACCTTTTTTAAGCATATCAGAACAAACAAGAACTTCAAATGGAATGATGTTGATATCTGGATCACTTGTGACATCCATAGGAATGTGGTTTTAATAGATGTCCCTGTTGTGAATTCATACAGAAAGATGCACAGGTAAGGTCTGTTGCCATTGGTAAGTGTTTACGGATTAAATCTTTCATGAATTGCAATAGTTATATGGTGTATGAATTCACACGTAGTGAATGTCTGATTCAGTACATGGACAGAACTCCAAGAAGATTAAAGCTGAACTCCAGGGATGACATATTTTGTATACTTACATTTAGAGAGAGCCTGCGTGGGTTTTCTCCCACACTCCAAAGACATGCTGGTAGGTTAATTGGCTCCTGTCTAAAATTTCCCTATTATGTGTATGTATGAATGTTAGTTAGGGACCTAAGATTGTAAACTCCTTGAGAGCAGGGACTGATGTGAATGTACAATATGTTAAGCGCTGCATAAATTGATGGCTTTACACAAGTACCTATATATATATATATATATATACCTTCTTTAACTGTACATATTAGTTTGGAATCCAATGTTCCATTTTTGTATTAGTCTTGTGCCTTTTATCATGCATGTTTCTAACGTTAAATACTGTTACATTTTTTTTTTATGTTAGCATTTTTCTTCAAAGACTGTGGGCTTGTTTGTACTGGCAGTAGGCATTGCCACCTCCTGAAAAGTGGTCTAGTATGGATCGCGATCAGTTGAACGGTGGCTGGAAGGCGGTCACCTACTCAATACCCCCACCACGACGCTGCAACTGCATGCATTGCACATGGACACAGGACATCTGCAGCACAGCTCTATTCATTTGAATAGGTTGTGTTCAATATTGCCTGCTGAACATGCCAGGAGGTTTAATCTTTGCTGTGAAGCAAATAATTACAGCCATAGCATGTGTACAACACCCTTGGGTTGCTGTGATAGGTAAGGAGAGGAAAAGGTGGTTTTGGTGATAAAATCTTTAAATTAAAATGCTTATTTTCTTTACGCCCCCAACCACATGTGTGAAAATATAACCGAGAACAGCAGACTTAGGGCAACCCTGGTCACTTAAAATTAAATGTTTTGAAGAATGTTATTATTAAAAAAAAAAATTTTTAAAAAAAAATGTAACACCAGGAGATTCAGACAAAATTATCTTTTGCCACAAAGGCAGTTTTTTGGTGCAGAGGAGCATTTTTTTTTTCTTCCTTTTCCCACCTCAAAACACACCTATGTTTGCAACATCTATGCTTGCAAGGATACACAGGCTAACATAGAGAGGCATTTAGAGGCAAGAAAAAAAAAATCCTGTCAAATACCTTTTACAGCCACGTTTCTAACACCCTGTGTGCACTGAATCCAACACGGATGACCCTGTAACCTGTTTTTTTTATAAAAATGTTTTGTACTGGGTTTTTCTGCCACCTTGTAATGCCCTCTGTGAGTGCCCATACCTCTCATTTTCTCCCTCACTTTCATTTGTTTAAAATGCCCAGTGCACTGCTCTATACAATACAAATCCCATAGCCCATATATTTCATTAACCCATCTCCAGAGCAAGCTCCTACATACAATGGGACCATGGAGAATGAATGTAGCAAAAAAAATGCAGCAAAAAGGTTATTTGAAGGCTTAGAGCAACAGAAGGTACATATGAGTTAGGGGTATAGGGGTACACAGGAGTTTAGTGTCACCAAGAATGGGGAATTGCTCTCTCCATCAGGAAACAAAGCCAGATCATGTAACAAACTCAAAAGCAACCCAAATACTTCAACCGCACCTTATACCAGTGACTCCCTTAAGCAACACCAAAATAAACAGATACTTAAAGACTTTCAAAGAGATGACTATACAGTTGAATTATTTCTCTAGCAACTATACAAAAGGTATACTATAAGATGGAGAACAGACTCCTCTGCAATATTGTACAGTACAACCTATAAAAGAAGTTTGTTTACATATTCGTTGAGGTGATTGTAGCCGTATTAGTACACTTGCGACAGAAACAATTCAGTATTGTCCGTGAATTGTATGTTAGTGCAAATAAAAAAAGTATCACGGACAGTACAGTGAAGTGTTTCTGTTTACATATTGGAACACATAGTTGGAAGAGTATGTGGAAATGGATATTCCAGTGTATACACAATAAAATATTTTAATTATGTATTTATTTTTTTTTACATTTTGATAACGCCTGTTGGTTTGACAACTCAACAATCTCAGTTTCCCATCACTTTCTATATTTGAGACAATAATCAGCAGGACAAGCATAAGAGTAAATCTCCCCAAAAGAGACAGAAGTAAAAGTAGCTTGGTTTTACATACATTAATACTTGCTTTGGTTTCCAGGACAAAAAAGTAAAATGTGAATCTCCCCAGCAAAGACACAGCAATAAAAACAAATTAGGCCCCTTTCACACGAATGTTCTAATCATATCCGCCTGTCCATTTTTCAAGCAGACCCCAGCAGAACCTCAATTTTTCTCTATGGAGCAGCGGGTGCAAACATGTGTGATTACACCAGCCTAAATCCAATACAATCTGATCAAAACAGACAGATGGAGATCAGTTCCCCTTGGATACAGTAGACTGTCTCGAATGGCAGTCGGGTGTAAATGGAGAGGCAGTCCGTTTACATCCGACCGCCTATAGAGGAGAGCGGACTGTGTCTGTGTCCCCTCTGCATAAGTGGAACAGACATGGACCTGACAGCTGCTTGCTCAGTGGGGACTGACAGACAGATCCCCTGCTAAACAAGCAGAGTCTGGTCCAAGGGCGGACTGACCATTCGAGCACTCGGGCGTTGCCCGAGGACCCGGGGTCAGTAGGGGGCCCCATGAAATGCCCCTGGTACCTTTTATAGGATTTTTTGGGTGTGCTTTGAGTGTGGGCAAGGACACAGGGGCCCCCATGATCCCCTATTACCCGGGGGCCCCATGAGTTGTCAGTCCGCCCCTGGTCTGGTCCATGTGAAAAGGGCCTAATATCTGAAAGTAAACATTTAAAAATTAAGACTGGATCCAGTTCTAGTATAAAGTAGACTGTTCTTCTAAGTTGGTGTCTAGATTTGCAATGTAATAAATATATAGTGTAAATTTGGGACTGAATTTCAGGAAATACATTTCTGCTCTATGGGGACAGGTCTGGATTTATTTAATCTCTGCTATGTAGAGCAATAAAAAGCAGCATGCTGGCACTGACAAGGGAAAGATCAGTGTTGTTTATATACCTTTAGATTGTAAGCTCCACGGGCAGGGTCCTCCTATTCCTTCTGTACTGAAATGTATTGTAATTGTACTGTCTCCCTTATATTGTAAAGCACTGCGCAAACTGTTGGCACTATGTAAATCCTGTATAATAATAATAATAATAATAATAATAATACAGACCTCTCCCCTGTCAGTGTTCCTCGGCCATCGTCGGGTACCGGTGGGGAATCTCTGGCAGAGACCTGGTGATCAACAGCTGTAGCCGCCAATGGCGGCTTGGGTAGGGCAGTGCATGCACCCCCTACCCGGAAATGCTAAATCATGTATGTATATGTGATTTTGCACAGCCCTGCAGCAGTAGTTCTGCTATAGAGCGGTCGGGAAGCGGTTAACTGACATTTTAGCATGCATTAAATAAAGCTTTTTTATTGGACTAGGCATTACAATGTTTCTACTTCAATAAACATGTTTCAATTCGTTTATAATTTTTGTTGTGTGTTTTTATTTATTTTGCATAATTTTTTTATTTAATATTTTTACACTGGCGTATTAATTTTTTTTAACACTTTTATTGCAATCACAAGGAATGTCAACATCTTGTGACAGCAACAGGCAGTGAAAGGTACTCTTTACGGAGAGATCTGGGGTCAGTAAGGCCCAAGATCCCTCCTCTGCCCCTAAAAACTTTTAATCAAAGATTTGTCATCCCCTCCTGCTGCTTGTAAAATCAATCCAGCGGCTAAATAGCTGCTTGGACTGCAGGGCTAAATGTAAAAAAAAAAAAAAAAAGTATATATTTTTGCCCGGAACTGCTTGTCCTGGGTGTCGGGAAATAGGAATTTAACATCCCTGATTAGGATCTCCACTATCCCACCTTCATAGGTGTGACATTTTACCAATCCGCTTTCCTCCTCTACTCTATGTTAATGCACAGAAATTACAAAATTCTCTGCCGAGTCCAACTTTTTAAGTGTCCATTGAATGAATGTTGCGGCCAGAGGTCGATCTGCAGTAGACCAGTCTGCAAGTCTCTATGTATGGGCACCAAAAGCCTGTGTCTCCAATTTCTCCCACTTCTGACATGACAGTTTCACAGGTTCCAGGTGATATACAGTAGATCTAAAGTTTCTAACAAGTCAAGGAACTCAGAGATGACCTTCATTATTGTTTGACAGGTGGTATATTTCACATGATAAAAACACTTATTTAATGTGCTAGATTATCACAAATGAAGGCTTTGGCTTGAATCATAGGTTCTGCCTTTACTTAAGATTGTAAATGAACATATTATCTTGTATACATACCATATAATTGCCATATGCATGATCAAACATTTCCAGCACTTGAGCCCTGAAACAAAATGCAAATATAATTCAGATGTACAAACAAACTTGTGCATTTCTTGTCTATTACCTTGTATGAAATATAATTATGCAGTTTATGTTTAACGTCTAAAGAAAAACTAATAAAGTATGACTCAAGAAGTGTTCAACTTTGTAAACAGCGGGAATTGCTTAGACTTCAGTACTTTATCAAATGCTAAAATATCAACATTTTTATTTTTATTAGAACACCCTAAACCTGGAACTTTGGCCAAAATTACTTTTTGACATGTGCAAAGTAAAAATAATTCCACACAAATGAAGTACGTCCTATGTGTTCAAGCTGCAGCAATATGTACAACTGTGACTTGTACAGTGCAGTCAGCAGTGATAGTCTTGTGTTGGGAGTTCCAGTTCCAACTGGAGTAGTCAGATCATAGTGGGTTGTTCGCATGCCACCTTTCCCATTGTGTAAACGTTTAGCATTCTTTTCAATGAATGTAATGTGCTCTGTGATTAGAGGAGGAGTGATTGTGACAGTCAACAACCCATCCTCCAATCACAGAGCGCCTTTTACTTTGTCAAATGCATGGTACTACTTGATAAGATGCTTTGATCTACAACTAAAACCAAAACAATGTTAACAAAAAAATTTAGAGCAGAAAATGGTTAAAACCAGCAAGTGCACACCCACCTTTTGATTCTAATTGATCAACACACTTTCTTGTTTTTTTTTTTTTTTTTTTTATCTATAAAACTTACCCTACCACAAACCAGAGGGGCCTCCCCTTCTACAACATTGTTCTACAGCCAGCACTTGCTGTACCTTAATCAGCAACTGTGCCACTGCATATTCAGGTTAAAGTGGACCTTGTCTATGCCTTTTATTGCATCAGGTCTCCCACCCCATCTTCAATTGAAACATTACAGCGGTAGTAAACTGCAACTTGAAAAAGAAAATAAAAAAATCCCCTACAAGGTAATGTCTTAATGTGCTAGTATGCATCGCATACTAGCACATTATGAAAGATTTACCTCAAAACGAAGCCCTCCAGTGGCGCGCTGTCACCGCTCACAGGGCTTCTATCTTCACCCAGTCTTCCTTCCGGGTTTGAGAGCTCTGGCCATCTGACTGGCCAAACCGCGATGACATCACTTCCACCCATGCGCGTGGAAGTCTCAGGTCAATACACAGTGCTTTACAGGAACAGCATGGGTATGCCTATCCTTCAGAGCACATGTGCAGACTGTCATAAAGAGTCCACATCTCCTAAATGGTGCACATTTAGGAGAAATTCATTTTACCTACAGGTAAGCTTTATTATAGGCTTACCTATAGGAAAAAAAAAAAAGAAAAAAAAAAAAAAAAAGATACAAAAGTGGGTTTACTTCCTCTTTAAGGTTATGATGAAGACTAAAGAAATCAAAAGAGTCCTCGAATTGAATCAATGCAAAGCACAGTAAATCCTTCTTAGAACAGAAGGTTTTTCCATGTCACATGACAATGGATTGAGCCATGCCAAATTCTTCTTAGAACAGAAGGTTTTTCCATGTCACATGACAATGGGTTGAGCCATGCCAAATTCTTCTTAGAACAGAAGGTATTTACAGTGGGGAAAATAATTATATGATCCCCTGCAGATTTTGTAAGCTTGCCCACTTAGAAAAAAAAAAAAAAAAAAATGAAGGGTCTATAATTTTTATCATAGGTGTATTTTAAATGATAGAGACATAATATCTACCAAAAATCCAGAAAAACACACGATACAAATGTTATAAATTGAGTTGCAGTTCAGTGAGTAAAATAAGTATTTGATCCCTAAGCAAATCCTGACTTGGTGGAGAAACCCTTGTTGGCAAGCACAGAGATAAGATGCTGTTGGATACCAGGTGTGCACACATCTCAGGGGGAATTTTGGTCCCCTATTCTTTACAGATCTTCTCTAAATTCTTAAGGTTTATTGGCAGTTGCTTGACAACTCGAAGTTTCAGCTCCCGCCATAAATTTTCTATAGGATTAAGGTCTAGAAACTGGCTACACCACTCCATGACCTTAATGTGCTTCTTCTTGAGCCACTCCTTTGTTGCCTTGGCGGTATGTTTTGGGTCATTGTAATGCTGGAAGATCCATTCATGACCCAACTTCAGTGTTCTGCCAGAGAGAAGAAGGTTCTCATCCAAGATTTTGCAATACATGGCCCCGTCCATTGGCCACTCAATGTGGCAAAGTCGGACTGTACCTTTAGCAGAGAAATAGCCCCAAAACATAATGTTTCCATCTCCGTGCTTGACTGTAGAGATGGTTTTCTTAGGGCCATAGTCAGCATTTTCCTTTCTCTAAACACGGTAAGTCGAGTTAATGCCAAAGAGCTCAATTCTGGTCTCATCTGACCACAGAACCATCTCCCAATCCATCTCTGAATCATTTAGATTCCATTGGCAAATGTCAGACAGACCTGTACATGTGCCTTCTTGAGGCAGGGGACCTTGCGGGTGCTGCAGGATTTCAATCCATGGCAGTATATTGTGTTACCAATGGTTTGTTTGATGACTGTGGTCCAAACTGCCTTGAGATTCATAAGCTCCTCCCATGTAGTTCTGGGCTGATCCCTCACTTTTCTCATGATCATCCTTATCCCACGAGGTGAAATCTTGCATGGAGCTCCAGATTGAGGGCGATGGATGGTTACTTTGTATTTCTTCCATTTGTGAATAATCGCTCCAACAGTTCTCGCTGATGGTCTTGTAGCACATTCCAGCCTTCTGCAGGTCTACAATCTTGTCCCTAACGTCCTTTGACAGCTCTTTGATCATTTGCCCATGGTGGTGAGGTTTGAATGGAAGAAATAGATTCTGTGGACAAGTGTCTTTTTATACACATAACGTGTTGTTGTTAAGAGCACCTTCTTAACCACTTGCCCTCCGGAAGATTTACCCCCCTTAATGAGCAGGCCATTTTGTGCTATTTAACACTGCACTATTTCAACTGGTAATTGTGCAGTCATGCAACGCTGTACCCAAATTAAATGTATGTACTTTTTTTCACACAAATAGAGCTTTCTTTTGGTGGTATTTGATTACCAATGTTTTTTTTTTTTTTTTTTTTTTGTGGTAAACGAAAAAAAAAAAAAAAAGATCGAAAATTAAAAGAAAAAAAAAAAAAAAAAAAAGCACAATATTTTTTACTTTCGGTTATAAAAAATATATAGTAAACTCAAACTTAGTCATAAATGTAGGCCAATGTATTCTGCTACATGGCTGGTTAAAAAAAAAAAAAATCTTATCTATACATCGAAGTAGGAGATATATTAATTACCGAAGTAGGAGATAGAGATATATATATATATGAATTTACGTAGCTTTTACTTTCTGCCTATCACAATTCTTGAGGTGCTAAAATGTCAGGGCAGTACAAAAACCACTCAAATTACCCTTTTTTTGAAAGTAGACACCCCAAGTAAGTAACAAATGATGACACAGTGTAGCGCTAAACAAAAATAAAATGATACTACCAAAAATAAAATAAAAATGTACATGATAATTGTAAATATAGGTGCACAACACTCAATCCCCCCTAAAATCCACACTTGAGGGATCCAAATGAATAATATGCGCAACACGTGAATTCCCTCTATGGGAACATAAACAGTGCTATATGTCATACATCACACACAAAAAAATGTGAATAGCACTAAACAATACTCAGAACCATCAGCAAACAAAAATATAATCATGAAATCAAGTCCCAAAACAACAACATATTTGATGGCACTCCAACTTCACTCGCATGCAAGTGACGATGTGTAGGTGATCAATACGTGGCAATCCTTCAGTGGCCAAAATGCCCCCTCACCTCCTTACATAGACCCCAAAGGGCCAACTCGCTTAAGGGATCACACCGATCCTAATAAGGACAGACTCCTCACAGGCTTCCCTTCAGTGGTGGTATACGTTCCTCAATCCAAACCTCCACACAGCTACCAGCAAGCCTCTCCCAGGATCATAGTAAAACAAAAAGACCCTCCATAGTGCAATCTGTTTATTCCAAAATATGCATATATACATATAAAATGCCCACTCACATTTGTTTCCTTCATATGTCCGCTTTTCTACCTCATGCTAAGGGTGTAATTTCATGATTATATTTTTGTTTGCTGATGGTTCTGAGTATTGTTTAGTGCTATTCACATTTTTTTGTTTGATGTATGACATATAGCACTGTTTATGTTCCCATAGAGGGAATTCACATGTTGCACATATTATTCATTTGGATCCCTCAAGTGTGGATTTTAGGGGGGATTGAGTGTTGTGCACCTATATTTACGATTATCACATACATTTTTATTTTATTTTAGGTAGTATTTTTTTTTTTGTTTAGCGCTACACTGTGTTATCATTTGTTACTTACACTTATTGGGTATAAGGTTAGTGTTAGCAGCTTTAGGGTTAGGGCTCCATTTAAGCGCAGGAGGATCTTCTTTATATTTGTACCCCAAGGATGTAGCCGAGAGGGATACAGAGTCCGTGGAACATTTTATTTTTTGCCACAAATTTTTGGAAAATGAAAAAAAAATATATAATTTTTTTTCAGTTAAATATATTACTCATGCATGCCATGGGTATATGTGGAATAACACCCCAAAACACATTCTGCCAAGTATGGGGATACCGCGTGTGAGAGACTTTTTGGCAGCCTAGCCACATACACGGCCCCAAAATCCAATGACCACCTCCAGGCTTTCAGAGGACATATTTGCTCGTATCAATTCCTCACTACCTTTCACAGTTTCAGAGGCCCTAAAATGCCAGGATAATGCAATGACCCCTTTTTGGAAAGTAGATACCGCAAGAAATTTGATAAGAGGCATGGTGAGTATTTTGCAGATATAATTTTTTTCCACAGGGTTTTGAAAAAAAATAAAAGAAAAGAAAAATAAATTTTGTTTTCTTTGCTTTCCAAAAACTTGGGGCAACAAATGAGATCTGCATAATACTCACCATGCCTCTTATGCAGGCCATAGACGGTTT